GTAAGAACTATTATTTGGTTGCGGTTGACCTTTGCACCTCCACTAATGGTTCCTGTAATATTTTATGATCTGTAGTTTGTTTTACTGTTTTGACTCAATTGAACTTTTACTTTTTCTTATTATATAGTTACAGAGAAAACTAGAAAATATAGAAAGATAATTCTTCTTGATTGCATGATAAATCTGGTGAGTACAAGCGTATTTATATAAAATTTATGGAGTAATTTCCTACTAGTATTAGACTTCCTTATAGTATTTTATTCTAATACAATATGCTAATAATTACGATTAGAATTAGAATTAATCTAAACTACTAGGTAAGTCTATACAATCGTACAACTAGCAGTTTGTTTTACTGTGTGACTCAGTTGAACTTTTTTACTTTTTCTTAAATAGGTTGTGATGGCCTTAAAATGTCGTGGTGAGCATGTGTTAGGAGGCCTTTATACAGGAATCAATACTCGACACATTGTGATGGCAAGCAAAATGGTTCTTTTGTCAACTTCAATAACTGAATTGCTTATCTTGAATTAATTATTTCTGGAGTTGTATTGACTTGAAATGCTTGTTTAGGTAGAAGAATACACTGGTTTACATGTTCAGCCGCATAAGGCCATTGTCGGAGCCAATGCTTTTGCTCATGAAAGTGGTATTCACCAGGTTGGGTTTCTATTGTTTGATCACGTATATATGTCAACCTCTAATCAAGTTTCTGGTTATTTTCTTGATTGATGATAGAAGTTTATTTCTCATCATACTTGAAAAACAACTGATTTTTGAACGTTGAATTCTATCTACTCTAGTATAAGCGAGAAAATTTTTGGAGATTATTTTATAGAACTCTTCCAAAAACATGCTTACATGATGTCGCATGGAGAGTGCTTAGGTTGCTACCAATAGATGATAATACAAAGTCATGCCTGTATGCAGCCAGACTATATTTTCCATTACTTTGTCCCTTTGAGCAGCAATCTTTATTTAACATGTCAATTTACTTGTTTTACTTTTTCTCCAGTAATTGTTATGTGTGTTTATATATTCAAATTCTTTATTGTTGATTGTGCACCAATATTCGATCTCATGTTAATACTTTAATTGTTTATGTATTTATATATGCAAATTCTTTATTGTTGATTGTGCACCAATATCGGTTTCATGTTAATCTGACGAGAGAAACAATCATGACAAAGAGAAGCTAGACAGTCTTCTATATCGTGTCAACTATAGGTTTAATAAATCAGAATCCAATGTCTAATAAAATGTGCTGCTGGTATAAATCACCACAAATTTATTATTCTAGCCCCACTTTGTCATTATCATGTTGTGGTACAATGCTAACAAAAAGCCAAATGCTATTTATTTTGTACGGGGGATGCAACGTCACAATGTCTTACAGAAATATTTGAAAATTTAACATAAGAAGCAGCATATTTGTTACCATTACAAAGAATTCTGTATTTAGCTTTGTGAAAATATCTTATATCCAATGTTCATGAGTATTTAACCTTTTTTGTTTATTATTATTATTTGGGGCTGTTGGAATCGCTGCAATAGTGCGGTGGTGATATGTTCATATGAAAGAGACTGTTGGATGATGTCAAGGGAGGCAAGGGGAAACAAAAGTGGTAATATCACCTGAGTTGCTAGGCACCAAAAAATTCTTGCAAAAAATAAAAATGGACTGCTGTTTACCATCTACTAGAACAGCTGGACAAGTTATCAGTCCATTTATTAGAATTTCTGGCAAGTTTCTTTGGGTGTAAATATGTAGAATTTTTACTTTTTCCAATTTGATGAATCAATTTCCATGGTGCTCTGTTACTTGGAGTTGGATATGAATGTTGGACATGATTACATGTTGAGTACTGCTCGTAAGTCCTTAAATTTTTCATTATACTGGAAGCGTAGTATGTCTAATCCATTTTGAGGTGTTCAACTTATTAGGGCAGATAAAGAGTTGGACCAAGATTTTTAACATGTTTGCTCACACTAGGATGATGCTGGTTCATTTTTTGTATCTTCTTTTGTGGATGCGTTAATGGGGTTTTTTTGGGCTATAAAACCTGAGCCGAAAGCTATAGATAAAAACTAACCTTACTAAATTTCATAGGTTCAGCTTGTTGGTATCTCCCTATTTCATGTTCATTTTTACAAATTCAGTTGTTACAGAACTTATGACTTCTTTTGTATTTCTTTTTCTTCTCCGGTGAAGTGGACGCCACGCTCTCAGAGACCGGTTGAAAGAGGTATGGTGCTATTATGCAAGTTTAACGATGAATAAGTTCTCTTTGCTTTATTCGATTACTTCTTACTGTTATCCTCAGCTTGGTTATGAGCTTGATGATGTTCAGCTTGGGAACATATTCTGGAGCTTCAAAGGAGTAGCTGAACAAAAGAAGGTAAAAATATTCTTCAATTATCTCTTGGATCTCTTTCCCTTTAGGTCTTCTTACAATAAGTGTTATAATATTTCGATCTGAATGAGTACAATTTGGAAATATACTTTTAATATCTTTGATGATTATGAATGCCTGGCTTTGTAGTGTTTATAAGTTCTTTGTTGTTTTGGTTGAGTTGTTTCTATGATATCCTGATTCCTAAAGGAAAAGTAACTGTGTCAGAAAACTCAAGAGCATCTGATCTATGTTTATATTATTTACTGGTTTTTCCAGAGAGAGTCACTGACGCTGATCTAATAGCATTGGTTTCGGATGAAGTTTTTCAACCAGAATTTGTGTGGAAGCTTCTTGATCTACAGGTAACTAGAATTTTCAAACAATGGTTATAGGAATGTTGTATTGAGTGCGCTGCCTACACATTTTATAGCACACACCTTTGAGTCATACATCAATTTTTTTTTATCATTTTTGGTTGCAATACTCTGTAAAGCATTGTTGCTGTTGTTGTGTTCCATATACGCAAAACCAAATTAATTTTTATTTCAAAGTTTAGTAATGTCCTCATACCCCACCTACAATTTCTTTTCTTTTCACACTTTATTGCTTGACTTGTCATATCTCAACGAGTACTTCAAAGAACGTACACTAAGATACTTTAAAGAAACTAAACCTGTATCCGACCATGCACCCGAGTCCATGTTACATACAGTTCACAACCCAACTTTAAAGTTAGTAGATTCTTTTCTTTTTATTCATTTTTGTTGGTATCTCCTTTACCCTATCAATCCCCTCTCTCTTTTTTTTCTTCTTGATGCCCATCTTTTCTATTTTACACAGCAATTTGGGTCCGTTGTTTTGGCAATTTTATTTGCAAACCAAAGCTATAATTAAAGAACCACAATCCGACTATGTTATTTGGATGCGATTATTGAATACGAGTATGTGTGAGATGGGTATGATCATATCCTCGTACCCATTTTTCAGACACGAGTGTCCGGGGACACTCAAGAAAATGAAGGGCAAAAGCTACATAGAATATGGGTCTATGAGGTGGGATTGTAGTACTAGGGATAGCAGCAACCCTTGTAACTGTCTTTTAACAACCACCTTCACCTGGCCGCCTTAAATTTCAACGGAAACATAACTTGCAGGTTACTTGTGGAACTTGGTCTTTCTACCGCTACAGTTAAACTCATTGATGCTGATGGAAAGAGCATGTTGCCTGCTCGGTCGGAACTGGACCCGTAGATTCAGCTTATAAAGCTGTTGATCTCATTATAAAGGTTCGGTGTTAGAAATCAGTGCACTTTTTATTATTTGTTATGGAGGGTACTCAGAATTTGTCCAAAGATTTCAGATTTTATCATAATTAATGCTATTTACTAACATATTTTTTGGTGAGATTGTGGATCAATTCTTCATTATTTTCCCTTCAATTGCAGGAACCAGTTTCCCTTCTTGAGTATTCAATGAATGCCGTTACGGAAGGCATTGATGCTATAGCCTCAACCCGTGTTCTGATCCGTGCTGAAAAAAGTCACGTTTCTACACATGCATCGACTGGTGAACTTGTTCATCGAACATTTAGGTACGGAATCATCTTGCATTCGTTTCCATTGCCTTTTTAAGCTTTTTCACCTGCATTGAAATCTCTTCTGCTTTGTTGACAGTGGAACTGGGGCAGGAATGGATATAGTTGTTTCCAGTGTCAAAGCTTATATCAGTGCGATAAATAAGATGCTGGGATTCAAAGAACAATATCCAACAAAGGCTTCCGTAGAAAGAACTCCAGCTTCTTCTTAAGCTATATTCTCAGGTTCATACGAGTATCGAATACGATAATATGTGTCACGTGTGCTCGTTTCTTTAGGTTTTCTAGGTCTATAGTCGTGTTCCGTTGTGCATGTTACGTTAAGAGAAATGAGAGTTGGATAATCGTTCTCCATGCATGCGTACATCGACTGCAAATTCATAATGATGTTGCAGTAGTAGCAGTGACTTAAAAGGGTTTTAACATAAGTTGGATTCTGAGACGGATCAAGTTTTTTTTTTTCCGGGGGGGGGGGGGGGGAGAACCATTACGTTGTTCTTGAATGCAGTGAATTTTTGCAGAATGTGATAAAAGAAATATGGTTGAGGATTAGTATTTTTATCTTTTTCCTATCTATTGGTTGTGGTTTTGGTTTTTTATATTTTTCGTTGGCATTCACTCTATCATGATGGAAAAAGAAAGATGAAAAGTTTTGTAGGATGGTCTTTTCATCTTTTCTTTATTTATTAATTGATTTAGGGTAATACAAACAATCTGTTTGAAAAACGCTCCATTTAATAATGAACGTTAAAATATCTCTATAAATGTCATGTTCAAACCCGAAATCTATTAACTGCAAGTATAATGTTGTTTTATTCAATTTCATACAATAATTGAGTATCACCTTATTCACATTTAATGCCAAATTTTTAAACACGCAACGCACCATAATAACTCCCACATTCTATATAGTAGAGTGATCGAAATTTATATAAATATAACGCATCTTAAAGCGCTATCACAGTAACAAACACGACATAAATACAGCCCCAAGCAGCACACAGGTTTCCACATTCATCATACATTTATAACAGCACATACTCACAGGTAAGAATCCAAGTACCCATAACTGTGTCTTTTGTTATACTGCAGAAGCTAGCGTAAGTTCTGTCCCATATTCCTATATACAGTGACTCACCATCTGGACTCACAGATACCCCTGATATCTCACCAAAGAAGTCTATATCTTGTCGTTCCTGGAAACCGGACCTCGTATTATAGACATGGACGAAATCTGCTGGTTCAGCAACTATCATGAATTGCCAGTCCGTTGAAAAGCGGATTGATCGCACTGCACCCAAGTTCCCTTTGAGTGTCGCGACTGGCATAGACAGGTTTCTTATGTCCCATACTCGGCAGGTCTTGTCCTGATTTCCTGTGGCAAATATGCGTCCATCAGGGTGCCATGCGGATGCAAAGGAGTAATCCCGATGACCAGCCACCGTGGCTACTGTCTGAGACCACAGAAAATGTTATTCAGTTTCAATAAAACTAAAAATTCTTAAAAACAAAGTTAAATGATATAATTTTGTGTACAGATCCATATAAAAGAAGCTTGAAACCGATTCCACCCGTCCCTCACTATTCTAGTTTTTATTTATTTATCCATTTAACCAAAATTTTATCGGTCATTTAAGCTCCTTCTATAACATATATCAGTCTGGACCAGGCCCCACTTCCGAATTCAATCAATTCGACTGGACAATGCAAGAGTCAAAAGTAAAACAACCTCAGTTCGTCTTTCAGGGAGGCCATCTCCCAGATTTGAATCCAAAACTCAATGCGACTGGCCTTACTATTGCACCGGGGCTCTCGCAGCCACCCATGCAGTACCGTATCCTACTAAAAACTGATTATAACCTTTCCATTTTGTGAATCAACAAGCAACCCATCCAAGTGATCTCCAACAACAGTAATAAGCCTTTGATCGGGGCTGATGGATGTATGCTGCATTAGAATAAACAAAATCAGTTGTTAATTAATTTAATCTGTGAAATCAGAATAAACATGCACTGAATATATTTTCGTAAATGAGCATACAGATATGATCCTCCCGACTCTCCAAATATGTGAAATGACTTTTACAAAACTGGATAAACCCATACCACCCACATACCCATTCCAGCACTTGCAGCCGAATCCAAGTAACATAAGTATAAGATAGAACATTAAGGGTTAAGGAAGAACTGAATCATGATAGCAATTAAAGGGACTTACGTTTACAGGCCAAGGAAACCGGAAATGATTCAAAAGTTGAAATCTCTCAGTATCGTATTCTCTCAAACTACAGTCGTTATTTGAGGCCATGAAATTAATTCCGCCCCTGCAAAACAGCTTCAAATTCAATCTATATTTTATTCAATACATTTTCCAAGTCAAACAACAAATCAGCAATTATTATGCTACCTCAAGCTGTCGTATATCTCGATAGCATTTGTAATTGCATTTTCATCATAGGTTGTCCGGGTGCAAAAGGCTACTCCTTTTCTGTCCAAGTGCTGCAAAAACACGAAAACAAAATTGTACAATATTATATAAAAAAGTAGTGGCTAAAGGAAAACCGAGAATGCCGGAACATGTTCATGCAAAACAAGAATATGCAGAAACAAATAGATACATGATAAAAAAATTTTTGAACCAACAAAACAATTTAGGAACTAAAGTGCGGGAATCAATCCATGCTCTTTCAAGAAACATGTCAAACATTTTGATTTCTAGGTTCTCAAGAATTCAATTTCTTTATTTATATCAGGATTCATATCACATATGGAGAATAATCTCATCTGTAAAAGAAACAAATGGATGGTTATTCGGAATGCGATAAATCCCACTCTGAGGTATGACCTTGCACACTCTCTGCATACTACCTGGTTCACACCATAACACCCACCACTATTCCAGTTATACATGACCTCTCTCAAAAAACACACGCTGCCTTTCTACTCATTGCAACCATGAAAAGTTATGTTGCTCAAACTCTTCATTTTTCTTGAAGTACCCTTGTCCAACACTTGCATTTGACTCATGGGTATGGAGATATGATCTGTGAGGATCCTCCAAATACATCGAAGACTTAGAAAAATCTAACCATACCCATGTCATCAACATACCCGTATTTAAGACGTACACGAGTCCAAGTAACATAAATTAAACGTTACTGAAAAAAGATCATTGGCTACATCTTGCCCCAACACTACTTGATTCAGACCATAACAATGACAACTACCCCACCCCCTCAGAAAAATAAAATAGACAGAGAGAAAGAACCACAGACGCTCCCCATTTAATAAAACACCATTCAATATTTTTCATTTCTTGGGTAAGTTAACAAGATGAATAATTCTAACCATGAACAAGATACAGTTTCTCGGAGAAACTAATACCAACAGAAATGAGAAAAGGCTGCAAATATTAACTTACCTTAAAAGTAAGCTCCCCTTGGAAGCCTCCCGCAACCATAAAATTGTCTCTTACTGCTAGAGTGCTTATTTGAGTTTGTGTAAAACCTTCTAATAAGCTTCCAGGATGTTTCTAGTTACAAGGCAAGGCAATAGAAGTTAGTGGATAAAATAGACCCAAATCACTTCAATAACCAACTTTCATTAAAATCATTCATACTCGTAAGTAAATGATAAGAAGTGCTAAGACTGATGAGTATATTTGTAATACCTCGGTAGGTGCCACATGCCCAGCAAAATTAATGATCTCAGACAGATTGCACGACAATGATGACCAATGCATAACCGAATAATTGGACATAAGGTAAACATCATGCTTTGAAGTAGCCCAAACCAAGTTTCTGAGCTGTAAAATTCATTCCACAACAGGTTATTTAACTCGAGAACACTGGAGGTATAGAACTTTCAACCCAAATCTAGGACCAACTTTAAGCATTCTTAATCTTAATATTTCCATGTAGAATGACAAAAGGTACCAAGAGAAAAAGGGGAAGTAGAAGTTAGAGAAATGAACAGCCACATCCGAGCAATCGCAGATGCACACAGAGTTGCAAAAGCATAAATATCACCAATTAAATCGACACATGAGAAATGATACTACTTTTTTTTTATATAAGTTGGAGGTCTCATTAAAAACTCCCTTCGTATTCTTCCACATACTAAGAAGTATGTTGAAGAACATTAGAAGAAAGAAAAGAGTACATCATATTTTATTAAATATAACACCCATTACATGTGAAAACACCGAATACCCACATACGGGATATACACCATTACAAAACCATATCACCTAAAAATCTACCATCGTCAACCACAAAACCCCAAAACAAAAATCCTATTTCTAAAATACACCTCAATCAAAATGAAAAAACCAACGCAAAAGATCATAGCATAACAGAAAACCAACACTGTCAACAATGAAAACTAAACGAAAAGCCTCTGCATAGAGCTCTAGAACAGTTACAATCCAATTGAAGGAATCAGTTCTAATGAATCATTGCGAACTTCAGGGACCCAAGAATTTGGTTTGAAGGAAGGATCAATTTCATGCACACTGATTCTGAAGCAATTAGGACCGACCTTCAACTCCAACGACTCATCAATTCTCACCTGAGACTTAGTGAGTAATTGAATTTTAGCCCGATCAAAAGACGATGGAAACAACTGTTGTCGATTGCTAATAATTTGCCCCACTTAGCTTAATGTTTTTGAAAGTATCACAATTCCAAGCGTGAAAAGGAATCCCTTCGCAAACTAACCACACTCGACGACACTCAACCACCAGACTCTCTGACCAAGCTTCAACTCTGGAAAACCATTCTGCAAGAGTCTCTAATTTTTCATTCTTCACAACTCTCAACGAAGCAGAGTCTTCAAAAACCATTAGAAGTACAATTCCAGCAGCTCTCATTAACATGAAACCATCGAGTCCTTTGGCTTGAATTTGGCTAGCAAGATCACCGATTTTGATAAAGTTCTTGTACCAACCCACCAGACAGTTACTCAACACGTGGATTTATCTTCGTCCACAACACCCTCAACTTCACAGTGATTAATCCTCGAAGCAACTTCCATCCCAGACTTCATTGAACAACTTTCGAGACTTTCTCCAATAAGACTGTCGAGGATTATATTTGGCCAAAGAGACCCTAATTTTGCTATCATAAATATGAGAACCATTCATATTTGATATCGCCTCCCTTGCTTCTTCAATTGTCGCGAAGCGAATGAACCCAAAACGAGCCCCTATGGAATTTCTTTTGTTAGGAATGAAGGCATCAATTACATGATCGTGATCACAGAATAAAGAGTCTCTTCCAATGGATCTTCTTTGGTAAGTTTTCAATGAATAACGTGAAACATCCACTTCTGTACCCATTCCTAACATTTGTATGCCCTTTCTTCCACCAATTATTAAAATCGATCTCCCAATTCTTTCTTCTTCACCAGACTTGTTACCAGAACACCCCTTTTGGTTCCATCTTGGACAACATCTTCGAGTATTTGAGCTGTTGATGCCTCTGGTAAAGATATATTACCATTCCCATAATTCCCTCGTTGAGAAGGAGGCATACCTTTAGGCCTAGATTTATTAACCGCCTTTTTGCTACCCAAAGAAGTCTCCTTATTCCCCTACGGAAAGTCCATTCGGGATCTCCTTATAAACCTGTCACAGATGTAACGATCACGGCTCCCAAATCTGTCATTCCTTTTGTCTAAACAGTCCCTATTACCAAAGCGTCTACCATCAAAACGATCATCTATGTACCGATCACGATCGCTGAAGCGATCACCACGGTCATCAACGGCAGCGCCTTTGTATCTTGAACGTGAAGAGAACATGACGCCACTCCCACCTCGACCACCACCAGCTGGAGAACAATCACGTGCCCGAAGTGCCCACAATTGAAGCATTCATCGTGTGCAACAGGACTGTCTCCACCTGCATAGCAACCCCTGTGACTTGATGAGTAACTTCCTCTATAGCCATGATAAAGATCTTTACTCATCTTGGGTTGAGCCTTATTCACCGAGATTGTACGTTCTCCCAATTTTCGCCTATGCATCACCCTGATAGCTTCATCCATGGACCGACGATATGAAAATGTAATAAATCCAAATCCACGAGATCGCCCTGTATCTCTCTGCACCATGAACTGAGATTCAGTAATTTTTCCGAACTGACTAAACACATGCTCAAGCTGTCGCTCGGTGACTTCCCAAGATAATCCTCCAACAAATATTCGGTTCTCTTCTTTCTCTGCCATCCTTAACAAACAATTCTCCTTTCTTCTTTGAAAACCGCTCTCTGTTTTGTCTTCGCGGTAGGCTCCTGAAAATCTAAACCAAGACTGGAGGACGTGTTTAGCATCCCCAAGAGATCCTGTAAGTTCTGGGCAAGATCTTCAACAAAAAAAACCTCAAGCTCTGCCCCACAAAAACCTTGTAGTTTCGTCGGTCAACGGTTACCGTAGGTGGCATCTGGCACGGCGTCTGTAGACTGTGACAGCAGAAGAGAAGAAGAGAAAATTAGGAGGAGAGCGTGACTTTTCTTGCTGAAACAGTTCACTGCAATTTCATGGAGAATAGGACGGTGGGAGGCGGCGATAATCGACAGTGAACGGCTTGTAGATCTGCACCGATTGAAGGAATTTATGGAAAATCTAAGTCCATATTTGGAATCACCGTAAGCTGATGTTATTCCCAGGAAAAAACGGGGTATCTCCAACAAGCAGGATATAAGTGGCAATAACAAAATAAATAAGCAATATCTGACTTACTAACCTGAAAATGGAGGATAGTAGGTTTAACCAATCTTGTATTATGGAAGAATTCATAGTAGTTCCCACCCTTTTCTACCTGTTTGCATTCCTGAAACAACAAATACAAATCACACAAAGCTTAATATGCTATTCACTTTACAACAAACTAGTTCATTCACGGATCGAAGGAAAAAAAATGGACGTTGTCGACAGCTTCACCGGAAGCCAATATATTCTCGTAGTTCTTATACTGTTCAAGCCTTGTCAACCTATATTTTTCTCTAGTTAATTTCAGTCTTTCCCATGGAATCCCCTGAATGTTTTTCCCCTTCCGCGCTTGCGCGGAAGATGTATCAGTCACCTTGGTCAGCTGCTAAAATTATAGCATGAAAGGGATGAATTACATCATTAAATAATGAAATTAACAATAACCAACTAAAAGTCAAAAAAGTTATTTGAAAATCTCATACACACTCCCCGGCGTCACTCTTTTCATAACCCAGTGGTCGGCCACTGCTTCACTGCTGCAACACTCACCGTTAATAGTCTCCGACCGTTGCTCATCGGCACCGGAAAAAGAAGGAAAATATACCATTCGAATCCTCTCTCCACCCCAAGCATGGATCGGACGTTGGTTTTTTCAAAATCAAATTAGATCGTTGTAGATCTAGAGGAAGATTGTTGATTCTGCCATCTGCTTTTCCTGAAGAAACAAGCTGTTGCTTTGTGAAAAAATTATACACCTCCATCATTGATTTAGCCAGCATCTTGCAATTCAGTTCTGAATTTTATTTGGAAGTTGCTGTTTTGGTAAGGTTGCTCCGTTCTGGCTTAGAGGGCACTGTGATTGGTGCACTTAATGCTCTTCTGGTTTTAGAAAGTGATGACGGAACCAGTGCTGAAGCGATGGCCGAAAGTGGTGCCATAGAGGCTCTCTTAGAACTTCTCAGATCTCATCAGTGTGAAAAAACTGCTGCGAGACTGTTGGAAGTAGCAAGCATCGGAAAAAGAAGGAAAATATACCATTTGAATCCTCTCTTCACCCCAAGCATGGATTAGACACTGGTTTTTTCAAAATCGAACTAGATCAGAGTAGATCTAGAGGAAGATTGTTGGTTCTGCCAGCCGTTTTTCATGAAGAAACAAGTTGTTGCTTTGTGAAAATATTAGCCACCACCGACAGACGCAACCTCCACCTCTATTTCACTGCTTACCCAAACTTATCTCCAAATTTCCGTTCTCTTCTGAAACACCGGGATTTCCAGGTTTGCTCACTTCGCCGCCAACATCAAGGATAGGCTTCCCCAGTAAACCTAAGCCGAGTATTTCTTCAATTCTGCCGCCGTCGACGATTACTATTTTTGTCTACAATAATTCTCGGTTACTATTCTCGGCTACAGTGATTCTCGGATACTATTCCCGACTACAGTATTCAGTTCTGAGCTTGGGTTTCTTCTCCTTGAATCGAACGACATCAGTTCGGTTTTTAATGTTTTCTCCTTCGGTAGCTGCTGGATCGTCTCAGATCCGAGGTAGGTTGGTTCCGAGGTTATACAAGGCCTTCTCACCTTTGGGTTTTGCCAACGGAGAGGCCAGACTTCGATTTATTGTTATGCCCGAGAGTTCTGGCTCAAAGATGAAGGCTAGGATGCGACTACGAGTTATCTAATCACAGTCGAAAAATCGTGAACGTCTCCAAAAACTAGCCGAGGGCCGTGAATGGCGAGATACACCTGTTGAGAAGGAAATTGTTAATGGTGGTAATCGGAAACAATTGTTGAGCGATAGAGATAGAAGGGGTAAGGTTAAGTCGAGATTAAGTGGGGAAATACATACAAAGGGGTATTTTGATGAAAAGTCTTTTGAATAAGCAAGAAGGAGGATAATCGAGTTTCATAATTGGTGGAAGAAAGGCCAACCGAAAATCCGTAATGGGTACAGAAGTGGTTGTTACACGTTATTTATCGAAAATTTATCAGAGAAGATTCATTGGAAGAGGTTTGGATCTTTTTTTTGCACCCACGATCCGGTTATTGATGTTTTCATTTCTAACAAAAGAAATTCAAAAGGGGTTCGTTTTGGGTTCATTTGTTTTGCAAAAATCGAAGAATCAAGGAAAGCAATCTCAGAAATGAATGGCTCCTATATTGACGGAAGCAAAATTAGTATTTCTTTGGCTAAATTTAAACCTCGATATTTTTTTTTTTAGAAAAACCTCTACAACTATTCACCACAAATCGGGGATGGAAGTTGTTTCGAGGAATAATCATAGTGAAATTGAAAGTGTTATAGACGAGGATAAACTCCATGTGTTGAGTAAATATCTAGTGGGTTGGTGCAAGGACTTTATCAAAATCAGTAATCTTACTAGTCAAATGCAAGCCAATGGACTCACTGGTTTCTCATTAATGAGAGCTGCTGGAAATGCATTACTTATGATTTTTGAAGACTCTTCTTCATTGAGAAGTGTGAAGAATGATGAATCACAGACTCTCGCTAAGTAGTTCTCCAGAGTAGAAGCCTGGTCAAAAAGTCTGGTGGTGGAATGTCGTCGAGTGTGGTTAGTTTGTGAGGGAGTTCCTTTTCACGCTTGGAATTGGGATACTTTCAAAAACATTACAGACAAGTGGGGTAATTTATTAGCAATCGACGAAAGCTGTCAATCACTATCATATTTTGATCTGGCGAAAATTCAAATCCTCACAAAGGCAAATTTGAGAATTGACGAGTCGTTGGAGTTGAAGGTCGGTACTAGCTCATTCAAAATCATGGTGCATGAAATTGATCCTTCCTTCTTGGGCCCCTGACGAAGTCGATACTCATTAAATCTCGTTTCTTCAATTGGGGCTTTGATTTGGTTTAATGATTGCAGGTGTTAGTTTCCTTTTGTGTTTTGTTCTTTTGCATTGTTTTGTTCTTTTTGCTGGAGGTGTAAATTAGAAAAAGGATAATTGTCCATTGGATTTTCTGGTTAAGGAAGTGAGAGTTTTAGGTGTTTCTGGTGTGTTGTAATGGTGTATTTCTCCATTCGAGAATATTCCGTGTATACATATGTATTCGATACTATTATTAATAAACTATGATGTACTATTTTCTTCCTTCCAATGTTCGTTAACATACTTCTTAGTATGTGGACGAATATGAAGGGAGTTTTTAACGAGGCCTTCAACTTCTATAAAAAAAATTAACAATAACTAACAACAAATACGTATAGAATATATAAATATCATCAAAATTGCAAAACAAACCACGTCATATTTATCAGAATCCACGTCTCCACCAGCTCGACCGTAGTCTTCTTCGTCCATGTCATCTACGAAATCTTCATTGAACCTCAACAGGAAAGGATTCACAATTGTTCTACCCCAATTATAAAAAACGCATAAAATTAAACAAAAAAGATGAAAAATTAGGACAAGGAAAATAAAAGGAAACGAAAAACTGATATACTTACATGAAATTTAGTATGGTTCTGGAAACTCAGGCCTCTGGATTTAATCCTGCATGTATATAATATTATATCATAATAATATATATACAAAAAATTAAGATTTTTTTTAAATTTTAATTTAGCTTTACAAAGAGATGATAATGAAAAGAGTTTTTTTTGGGGGTTAAGTAATCGTTGGCAAAAACCGTCATTTAATTGATGGCTTTTGCACTCAAAATCGCATGCTTTCCCTGCCTTCCTAAATATTTAATTTGATTTAACCGTTAATAAATGTTTGAAAAATATTGTTAATTTCTTATATAAAATATTAAATTAATAATGTTTATATATAAATCGTTAAATTTTTTTTAAATTAATTTAATTTGATTTTAATTATCACTTTTAATAAATTATTTTTATTTTAATATAATTATATAAAATATTAGTGTAAAAATACTTTTGAAGAATTGGCCAAGTTTGGTAAGACAAGGAAAAACAATTGGTCACGGGTCAGGTTCAAGAGCACATCTCAATTTTTAATGCATTATTCATAATCGTAGAGTGTCTTACAACAAGGACGTAGATTGTGCTCGGAGGTGGCTCATGCAATGCAATCTCTCAATATAGTTCGCCGGGGTTGGGCCACCGCTGCTGCACCGTGCTATTGGTCATCGGCGTTCCCCTCCGAATGATTGGTGCAAGCTAAATGCGGATGGAGTTCGGAACCCTACGATCTTACGACTTCCAACGATGTTTTGAGGGACTGAGATGGTAGATGACAGGCGGAGTTTTCTAAAGTTTTAAGGGATTATTCGGTCTTGAATGCAAAATTATACTTATATAAAGGCTTAATATGACTTGAAGTTTAGGGTTATAGAATATTGTAGTCAAAATGAATTATAAGAAGTCTTTGATTTACTTCGACAAGATGTGATAATGTATTATGTGTCGTGCTTACTTAGGATTGACATCTTCAATTTAATCATGTATCTATATGCATAGATTTTTATGCAGTGATTTATTTGCAGGGATTACTTCCCATTACGCACGCGCATATGAAGACTCTTCAACTATGTATTTATTTATTTATACATGCATTGTATTTTATGTTTATTTTTAATTTTTTTAAACTGCCAGAGGTATTTCCACTGAAGTGCTCTCAACCTGGTGTTGGGGCCAGCCTACTACCCTACCTCCCCCTTACCCCATTGCATATGGAAATATGGTTTTGTTGTTGTTGTCTTTCATCTGGTGTATCTAGCTTTTCTCAATTACCTACTGTTGTGCTCTATTTGCTGTGTATGTTAAGGCCACTTATCCCACATTGGGAGGAAACATCCTTTGTGAAGAATATTTAAAGGATCTATTTTACCCTCCCTTGTTGAATGTGATTAGATAACTTCATGGCATGTGTGTGTTGACTGTTCGGGTTTGGCTCGTGGTCGTGATCAAACATGTCTTAGATACGTATTTATAAGCAAATTAGATTTTTAAATTGATAAGATTAATTGCTGGAATTATCTGTATTATTATGTGCTAGTTGGTAATTCGAAAATTTATTTATTGTTGTGCTAGTTGGTATTTTAACAGTTGTGTTAGTTGTTAATACTAAAACTTGACTTTCTATAGAGTGAACCAAAATTGTCCAGGTTCAAAGCATTATTACAACAGACTACATATCAATTTTTGGATCTTAATCTTAGTAGTTTAATTTGCTGATTTAAAAGTTGTCTCAACAACTATTTTATGGACGAATCTGGACGGTTTTGGGATCAGGTTCAGCTAGCTACACCAAATAAATTACGACAATATTCCATAATTAAGTTTGGTATTAAATAAGTGTTTATGATCGATTTATTTTTTACGTTTTACCCCTCTTATCAGCCTATAAATAAAGACGGGTTTTTCTCATTTTAGATCATCCAACAATTCATGCTTTTCCTCTCTTTTACAAACTCTCACAAAAGCTTTCGTATTTTCCAATGAGAAGAAAAATTCCACAACTGTCCACTTCAAATTTTGGGTTTACGAATTTTTTGAGAGTTGTGCTAACCTCGGGGGACGATTTTCTATAGCAACGATTACACACATCGAGACAAAATTCATTTATAAGGCAGTGATTTATACCATGACACAGTTGTTCGGATTTATTGTTTTATTACTTTATTAGTTTCCAATCAGTGCTAATGATTTTATTTTGCAGTTTCTATTTCTAAAAATTTAGAAACGAATTTAAAACTCTAAAATGTTGAACACCATGGTTAAGCTTGTTCCCAACTTGTCTAAGCTCGACGCTCTTGACGGGAAAAATTATCGGAGACGGTCCCAGAGGATAATCATCTTCTTCGAACAACACGACCTTGACACGTGTTGCTATAGCCGACACCCGAACCCACTTCATCCTTAGATGTCACATTTAATGCTTTCGGAGGTGATTCAACTCATGCTCCTTCCAGTGAAGTCCTTTCATCCATAATTGTTATTGTTGCTCCTTCCCAGGTGTCCTTGGAAAAGTATGAGAAGAAGAACAAGATTGTTTGTGGTTTTCTTCTAAGTAACACGTCGAATAAACTCTTTGACATATTTCTTAAGGAGAAAGTGCCAAGGCGATATGGGACATGCTGGAGAAGAAGTATGGAGCCCCTTAAAAAATTTATATAACTTCTTAAGTTCGCACCCCTAACATAAAATTTTTAAGTTAGTCCCTATATATATGGTGATACAAAGAAGGTGGGTTTAAAAGAATAAATGTGAAGAAAGTTCTAAACAAATAATTTATCAGGTCAGAAGATTGGTCCACTAGAGAAAACTCAAAATAAAAGTAAATGTTGTAAAGAAGTACAAGGTCAAGCATCTTGAATTGATTCTTTTCGTAAGAAATATGTCCACATTTACTACATCAATGTTGATAGATACCGTGAGTGTCGATGACTTAAAACGATTCACTCATTCTGATTTGAACAGAGAATCACAAATAATAATAATAAATATATTTATATAAAATTTAATATAAAAGCAATTCATTTTATACAAATTTTAACCCATATTATTATTTTCTTATTATGAATGTATTAATTTCTTTAACACGTGATTTTTTATAATGCACTTTTAACATATTTTATGAAGAGGGTCGGGGAGCCAATGGTTGTAATGATGCGTAGAAGGTAGCAAAGAGTGATTCCATTCAAATAGGCAAATGGGTAATAGATAATGGATAATGCTGATCTTTCAACACATTCATGCGGCCCCTCTTTCTAACTAAGCCTATCATCCGGTTCACCCGGATTAGGTAATTGGTCCAGTTTTCTTTTGAAAAATGCTTCTTTATTCTTGACTCAAATCGAAATTCACCTAATTTTATATTTATTTCACTATAAAAATTCACATAACGTTGAATCATTAAATAAATTCATAATTAAAATTTAAATAAAATAATATAATTAGATGGTTCAATAATAATCACAATTGGGCTGGATAAAAGTTAAAAAAAACAATTATTTAAACACATTTTTATACAAGTAAATGAAAAATTAATATCCAATAATTTACAAGAAATATACATATACGAGTTAAGATCCACTTATACAATGTAAAACAGATCTGTGATCGTTTGGTGAGTGAAAAATAAATGGTTGAGATTGACTCTCTATTTTTTCCCAGTAAATATCTTCATATTTCTTACTTTTAATCTCAATCATCTATTTTCACTCATCTAACGGTTCTGGATCTGTGTAAAACTAAAAGAATTATACATTGTGTAAGAGGATCCTACCCCTATTGTAAAATTAAAAGTTTTACAAGTTTTTGTGACGATTAATCTCAACATTTAATTTACCTCATCCAACAATCATAAAAATGTATAAAACTAAAAATTTTACACCAAATATAATTGATTCTAACTCATATATGTATAACATGTAATTCATCCCCGTATGTCCGTTCTGGACTTAAACCGAAAACCTTTAGGGGGTGTTTGGTTCAAGGATTGTGGGATTCCCATGGGTTGGGAATCCCACATTCCCATGTTTGGTTGGCCGAAAATCTCATTCCCGATAATGTTTTATTACCAATAGTAGATTTTTGGGTATATTACTGGGAATGTCATTACCTCCATTCTCTTAGGTATTGTAACATTACTGGCGTTTTGGACTAAAATGCCCTTAAATTTTTATTTTTTTCAAAAATATCCTTCTTCTGTCATTGAATAATAAAAATTCTACGAAAGTTAAATTACAAATTTATCCTTAAATTATTTTAGATTTACAAAAAAATATATAATTAAAATTTTATATGAAGTTCAAGGGTTAAAATTTTTTACCCTTTCATTAAACCTTTTTTATATTTTTAATTTTGTAAAAAAAATTATATAAATATTATGAATTTAATTTTTTAAAGAAAATATATAAATATTTTACAATTTGTAATATTATACAAATATATAATAAGGACAATTTGGTCAAATATACATTCCAATAATCTTTTATTCCTTTAACCAAACACGGTAATCTTACATTCCTGCTAAACCAACCAAACACAAAATACAACATTCCCAGTAATCCTATTCTCTGGTAATCTTTTATTCCCACTGGTAATCTTACATTCCGTGAACCAAACGCACCCTTAATGTATTAGACGAACGTGATAACCATCTTACATCACAAAACATAATTGTAATATTTTACCATTAGTTAATATTAACATTATATAATATAAAATATTAGGTGTTAGTAGAATAAAATTAAATGGTATCGATGGACAAAAAGTGAGGAGCGTTAGTCATCGTGAGTTTGCATTAAGAATTTGAGAGCGGTAAGAATTTGAGAGCGGAAAATAACTGAAGTGGTATCATATCGGCATAAAATAAGATATGTATAAAAGGTAAGATTTAAAGTGGTTTGATTTTGGGTATCATGTCAAACTTTCAACAATGTTGGGTGTGTCGATGAGGAAGGCTTGATCGCTCGGGCAAAACCAAATTCTTTTGATGAACCTTTTTTTTTCAATTTATAACATTATCAAAAGGGTAAACCATTCACATGATCACTTAATTATGAGATTGATCTCGATATGATCGTCATATTTTAATTTCGGCACCATGACCACATAACTTTTTATGTGGTTTCAAGTGTAGCCATTTGTCGTTACAAAACTGATAACCCTGTAAAAAGGCTATATCTTGTGCCTTTTCACTTAGGTTATTGATTGTCTTAAGGCTCGTTTAGATTCATATTGATGCATTTAGGATCATATTATTGCATGGGATGGAGTCGTTTTGCCGCAACATTTTATTTTGTAAACTGGTGATGCTTAATGGGGGAAGGTTATATTTGTTTGTTGATGAGCAGGTGATTGAAATCAAAGAAGAGATTCGTTGTAGCATTTTTTATTGATGAAGTAGTAGAAGAATGCTACAACAGTCTAGATGACATTCCTGGGAGCAGAAAATGACAAAAGAGTGGAAGATATTTTTATTAAAGGAGCCAACTGTCCAACCCACACATGGTACCCTCTAGCCAGCTACCGTGTGAGGACCACCATCATCATTGTACACCCCTTCATGCGAAGGGAATGATACCTAGGGTATAAAGGGAATTTTGGCACAAAACCCTAGAATATTTCCCTAGTATAAATAAATAAGGATGCCCTAGAAAAGGGTGAGGTAGGCAATAGTGAAAGGCGGCTAGAAAGCTTCTATTTTTCTTCCCCTTTTCATCTTCTTTGTGATGTTCTCCATAGCCAAGTTTCAAGAGGGTAGCAAGCTAGGCCTTTAAGAGAAGCTAGCTTGCTAAGGTGGTTCACAGTGGCCCATGAAGCTCATAGCAGCGCGTGTGTTGGGAGTTTCCTCTTACCATGTGCTTTCATTTCATTTCTATTTTGTGGGATGTTATGGAACAAATTATTTCTTTGGATGATTTGTACCCCACCATGAACTAACCTTATTTGGTGAGGGTTAACTATGAATGATTAAGCTTTTGTTTAACGAATGGTTCATATTTTTATGTTAATATGTGCTTTGCTCATTGATTTATTTACTTAGGATTGTAAGAGTTTACGAGGTTAGCCTTTTCTTAAGTTTGATGCCTAGTATTCAAGAGAGCTAGGTGAGATCAACGTGAGTAATATGGCTTAGCTTCTAACTAGGTCCTAATCCATCATATAAATAAGGATAGGATTTCAACGACTAAAAGGGGTAGTACTTATTCGATAGGAATTTGCTTTAGTTCACGCTAAGAGGTATTTCTATAGCATTTCTTATCTGTCAGGTTCCTTACTAGAGATAGCCTAGGGACACTTTTAGCAAACTCTGTCGAGCACGTAGGCATAAAAGACTTGAACCATTCTAGAAGGCAAGGCTTAGGATTCATTAGTATCCCTACCAATTATCCTCATTGTAGCTTGTTTGTGAGAGGTTGTCAAGTATCTTATCCATTCCCAGATTCTCAATTTAATTTGCTTTAGCATTCTTGAATTGTTACATTTTAATTTTCCATAGCATTTCAAATTGTTACCTTGCCACATTGTCATTGCATTTCCATCTTCATACATTTCATTTTTCAACAACATTATTAATTGTCTATACCATCATATAGTCATATATTAGGATATATAGTTTATTGCTTCAACTTAACTTGTGAATTCATCCAATCCCTATAAAGATGATACTCACTTACTCTATATTACTTGTTTGATTGTGTATACTTGCACATATTTTTCTTAATTTATAGCACACACAGAGCACACCCAAGTTTTTGGCATAATTTTCGGGGATTGGCAAATGGAATTTTTAAGATTTTTGTTACAACATTATTTTACTTATTTATTTTTCTATCATTTTGCTTGTTATTATTTTTGTTTGTCTTTTTCAGGTTTTGTTGTTGCATGACCCGATGGAAACCCGAAGGACTGATATTACCAATTGAATATGAGATTGAATAGTTTTTTGGTCAGATGAGACATGCTCAAAGAAACATGTATGCCTTACGAAACCAAGGAGGTGAATAAGTAGAGGATTCTGAAGATCCAAATGCCGCAGCAATTCTGAATGTGAGGAATGTTGCTTGACCTCGTGCCATTAGAGATCAATTAACTCCTATCTTGGATAATCTCAACCCTATTATTGTAGCTCCTGAAATCTAGGCAACCCACTTCGAACTTAAACCAATCATGTTTAACATGTTGAACTCGATAGGACAATTTGGTGGCATGCCTCATGAAGATGCAAGACAACACATTCGTGCTTTCTTTGAGGTATGTGCTTTTTCCAGGAAACAAAAAGTTCATGAAGATGTGTTGAAGCTTAAATTATTTCCTTATTCATTGCAAGACGAGCTAGAGCATTACTTAGTGGAGTTCCCTTTGGCTCAATGGAATCTTGGGTTGATCTGTGCAAAGTTTTTTGCTGCGATATAATCCCGTTGGAAGCGTCAGCGCACCCCATGGCATAGCGAAAACAAACTCGATGGTCTCACCATCGATCCATGTATGATAAAACTGAAAACATGAGGAAAGGGATACGATTACTTACATTAGGTTCCTTGAAAAAGAGCAAGATTGTACCAATGGTAATAGTGATCACGAATGATTTAAATCGTAAGCCTCCACGAAAACCTTTCGGCCTTTACTTGGTTCACTTGATTGAGAGAAAATATTTTTCACTTTTTCTCAAAAATGGTTTCTAGAAAATCGGCTAAAAATAATAAGAAAACGGCAGCTAGACCCTTGCTTATCTTTATATATATATACGAGTTACCCTAACCTTTAGGATTTTTGAAATTTTGAAATAATTAAAATCTTATTTTAATTATTCCGAAATCAAATTATAGAGAGACACGACAAGTGGGTTGTATTTATAAAATTACAATTATTGCATATTAAAAGGGCTATAACCATACATGTCAAACACCGTGAAAATAAAACATATAATATATATGTCATTATGAATTTGTTAAAGTTACCAATATGTGCCTAAAATCTAGGGATGGCAATGGGTCGAGTCGGGTCGGGTTTTTGGGCCACCCGACCCGACCCGAGAAGAAAGGGTTTTTCACCCGTGACCCGACCCGACCCGACGAAATTAAGGTTTCACCCGACCCAACCCGACCCGAATATATGACTTAGAAACCCGACCCGACCCGAAATAATAATAAAAAAAATTTTATTCAATGAAAACAGTGACTTAATTGAAAAAAATTATATATGGAGGGACATTATTGTAATTATCCCTAAATATATAGGATAAAATTATATATATTTTTCGGGTCGGGTCGGGTCGGATTTTTTTCACCCTAAACCCGACCCGACCCGACCCGAACAGTACATTTAAAAAAAACCCGACCCGACCCGAACCCAAATTTTTTTTAAAAAAATCCGACCCGATCGGGTCGGGTCGGAACCCGTCGGATTCGGGTTGAGTTGCCATCCCTACTAAAATCTATGTTCCCTATGATGGGGTCAAGGGACGGAGCCCCTTGTGGCAGTTAGCCGCAGCGGCGCAGTAAGTTGAAAATTTTGAGAAATAACACTTACTGCTTCTATGGAAAAACCTCATGATTTGATAACATTTATCAATAAAATTGTGTTTTGGGATTATTCAATATCGATGGTTTTCCGCATAAGAACAACCATTGCTCCTTTGCCAGACGCGATCTGCTATCATGTATCCATCAATCACCATGTTAATGATTAACATATGAATATCATAAACCCTTGTAGCAACAAATAAATAATTAACTCTTAACCACTGATTATAAAGTTCATTAAACATATTAACATATTAACCGTTCCTTTTATCGAATCAAATAGTTATATCATATTTACTCACCGAAAAAGATAAAACAATCATGTATCTTATACATATTGCATCACCCAAGAATTTTAACCTAAATTCTAATCGTATTGGGTTTGATACCACTATTGGAACTTTAGACGCACCCCATGGTACAGCGAAAACAAACTTGATGGTTTCACTAGCGATCCATGTATGATAAAACCAAAAACAAGAGGAAATGGATATGATTACTTACATTGGGTTCCTTGAAAAACAACAAGATTGTAGCAACACTAATCGTGATCACGATCGATTTGAATCACAAGCCTCCACGAAAACTTCTCGACCTCTACTTGGTTCATCCGATTGATATCAAATATTTTTCACTTTTTCTCAAAAACAGTTTTGAGAAAATCATCTAAAAAAGATCAAGAAAACGTCTGATAGACCCTTGCCTATCTTTATATATACGAGTTACCCTAACTTTTAGGGTTTTTGAACTTTTAAATTAAATAAAATCTTATTTCATTTATTTTCAAATTTAATCTTCTTTAATTATTCTGAATTAAATATTCATTAAAAGAGTTGTAATCAAAATTACATTCTTTTAATGTCCACTTATTTTATTCGGGACAATTAAATTATATGTATATTTTATATACATATATTAATTCTAATTGTATTGTACAATTTAATATTTGCTCATTTCAACCTTAAGGTGTAACCCTATAGGTTCTTGTAATATTAGTAGTAATTATTAGAACCAATCTAATATTACAAACAATGAGTGACATCTAACAATATATTATTGTCACCTAAGTTACAAGAAATCATGATTAGACATATCATCTTCGTGACTAACTCTTTTATTTATTACATCATTTTGTCCTTTATATCTAGAATAGGCACAAGTATTGGAATAGTCCACTTGTATGACCCATATATTATTTCTTGATATCTAGAGTAGACTATAATTAACGAATAATTTGTCATATCTCATATCAACATATTTGAGCATTTCTAGTCTCACTCAATCAAGTGGCCTATGATATATTTCCTATTATGTAGGAATGACAAATCCTATCTTAATTATTCATAATCCACTATATATATCAAGATATGTTCAATATCAGTCTTTATAGTGAAATCAATTACGGAGCATGTTTAATTGCATCAAAACATATAACAATATATGTTGAGATAGTAATGATATAAAGTTTGAGGATCATAATATAATTATCACCATGAGCACTATTTTGACCATCGCATAATAATCCAAGATATATGCTCATAGTGGGTCAATCCAATATTTTGTTCTCTAACAACATATTCATGCATCAATTCTGACATCTCTATATCAATAACAATTCATTGTCATCAATCAATAACACATTAGTCTTAAACATGTTATCCATACCCATAATAATATTCGACTAAGGATATTTCACAATAATCATATTATTATATGAACTTTATTATTTTTTCAGTTTATGTTAGACACATATATATAACTGAAAATAAAAGTGGTAATGCTTTTATTTAATAAAATCGGTAAATAAAATGTGTTCATACAATCATCATATGATTGCTCTTTGGGCATTCTCTAACAAATCCCCCAACATGAACACTCAACCTAGAAATGACATAGCATCCTTCTATCAAGCTGATGATGAATCAATGTAGAAGTGTTGGGACCAATACAAAGGATTGCTACGAAAGTGCACGAACCATGGATTTCACGATTGGACTCATGTTGTGATATTCTATAATGGAGTGAATGCACGCACATTGATGATATTATATGCTTCACTAAATGCCACTTTGCTGGATAAGTCACTAGAATAGGTTTTTGATATCCTCGATAGGATATAAACAATGATTGCAAGCTTCTTTCTTCAAGGTTGGGAACAAGGAGAAAGGTTCCAGGGACATTGGAATTAGATGCTAAGGATTCAGTGTCCACACAACTTTCTGCTATCACAAATATGTTTAAACTTTTGCAATGTTTCAGCGAGGTGAAAGAAGTAAAAGAATTTAGCTCAGTATGTATTTTATGTCATGTAAATCACCATAAGAGTGAATGCCCACATAATTAAGAATCCATCAACTACGTGGGAAATTTTAAAAGAAATAACAACAACCCCAACTCCAATACTCATAACCTTGGATGGCGTCAGCATCCTAATTATTCATAGGGAAATCAAGGAACCATTAATTCTAGTCATCCCACTTGACCATAAAATATAAATAAACCTTAAGGTTTTTAAAAAATATGTCACGGAAAAATTCCAACAAGGGTACAACATCTTCATCAAATAATAATTCGTTGGAGGCTACTACATAAGATTTTATAACAACTACGAGGGCCATACTGCAAGACCATTCCACATCTATAAAAAAACCAAAGTATTTTACTGCAAAGTCAATGAGCATTGTTGCAAAGCCATAGCTCTTCTGTTATAGCTCTGGAAGGTCAGGTTGGACAAATTATCGGGCATTACAAGAATATCAACCAGGTCGTCTACCTAGTGACACTGAAGTCACTAAACCATAAGCCAAGGAGCAATACAATGCACTCACTCTAAGGAGTGGCACCCGAATCATCCAACAAGATAAGTTTAGGGGAAGGAAGACGGATAATTCCAACCCCATGATGCTGCAAGCAAAATCAGAGTTGCAAGAAGAGATACTTGAGGAAAAGGAAAAGGATGCGGGATCAACAAGTGAACATGTTGATGGAGCAAAAAAATGCTATAGAAAAAGTTGTTCCCTACCATCATTAGAAGAATTAAGACCCCCGTCACCTTTCCCTCAATGATTGAAGAAGCATAACAATGACCTTTAGTTTAAGAAGATTGTAAACATCCTTGAACAAGTACGTATCAATGTCTCACTCTTGGACGCCATTGAGTAGATGCCGACATATGCTAAATTTCTCAAGGAAATTATCACAAAGAATATAAAGGTTGAGAAGTATGAGACAATTACTAAAGCAAAAGACTGTTCAACGCTTAAAAGCTGCCACCAAAGTGAAAAGATCCTGGCAACTTTATCATTCCTTGTTCTATAAGAGACAATTATATTGGAAGAGCCCTATGTGATCTTGGATTGAGTGTGAACTTGATTCCCAAGTCAGTGTTCCTGAAGCTTGGGATAGGAAATGCAAGACCGACCACTGTTATTTTGTAACTAGCTGACCAATCACATGTTCGTCCTGAGGGGAGGATCAAAGATTTCATAGTGAATGTGGATAAGTTTATGATTTTCTTATCCTTGATTGTGAGGTCGATGAAAAGGCACCCATAATTTTTGGACAACATTTTCTAGCCATGGTTCACATCCTTATCGATTGTGAAAAAGGGTGAATTCACAATACAAGTGGCTGATCAAAGTTTGACCATCAATGTATTCCATACACTGACCATCAACGTGTTACATACCCTGAAGTATGCTGATGATTCAGAGGAATGTCAGTGCTTTTTAGACATGGATTTAATGGTAAAGGAAAAAGCAAAAGAATTT